ACGTCGACCGACATAAGGGAAGGGGTAAGAGAGAGGGCCGGGTACAACGAAACTAACTGGTTAACAACGGCCCCGGGACGGGCCGAACCCGCAGAACCGAACCCCAGCGAAGACTCGCCAACAGAGGCAGAGTTCACGCTGTTGTTCTCCGAGGGCTTAGGCCTAGCCTTAGCCCTCGCCCCATCCCTACCCTTCCTACCCGACTTACCTGCACGCCCTCGCGGGCGGGGAGAACCACAGGCAGGAGTCGGCTGCAATGGACGGTAAATTTCACAGGGCTGCTCCAGAGAGCCTTTTGAGAAGGAGGGGGCTCCCTCTCAATGTAAACAAAGCGAACACGTGGCCGGAGACTGGTCCAAAGCGGCTTAAAATAAAGTAAAACGCTTAAATTTAAACAAAAATCAAAATAATAGTATATAAAGGATACTATAATTATATCGGAGCAAACAACGCCTGTAGCAGTTGGAACCCAAAGACCGTAGTGAGAGCAATAACACGCCCGTAAACACGTAAGGCTGAAGGACTTATGAAGTAGGAGGCATGGCTTCGTGGCTGATCATGTGCGTGAATACTACCGTCTGATTGGTGGGGTTTTCCATGGTTTCTCCAGGGGGGGGGGGGTATTTTACGTATGTTAAGAGCCAAGTAGGGTTGAAATATGCATTTTAATGACTGTGGTAACGTATTTTGATATAGAAAGTTTGATTTTGCTATGGGGCCCTCCAAGGGGTAACTGTACGTGCTGTGGTGTCCTACATAATTTACAATATTTCCATGCTTCACATGGAAGATTTAAATATATCAAAATGACGGTTCAAGATGAATAACTGAGAAACGAGAACCTACTTATAGTACATGTAAATAGGATCGTATAACAAAAAATTATTTTGTTATCGTAATGTTCCAACACATCATGTTTTACATGATGTTGACTTAGAATGATGATCATACAACAATTTTTGTCTATTAATAATTAATTTTCGACTTCAGATAGAATCGGAATACGCAATGAAAACGGGGAAAATGTAATTTGTTTACGTTATAAAAATGGGGCGTGCTACCGATAACTACGGCTTCTGTTTCGGACAAAGGCAACTGATTAAAGAAAATGTATCTTAACATTAAAAAGGGTCCATTAACAACTATGCTTTAACCTCTGTAAAGTATTGAAAACATATAATCATCAAGTATCTCAACACTTTCCATATGTGACACATATTCTACATGTACATGTAGTGGTTTTGCCAGAAATGTTTATTGTGTGTGATGACTTATATGACTTACTTAATGTAAACGTATGTATATATGAATGCATAGAATAAAAATAAAGTGGCCAAAGACAGCGAGTCGTAATAAAAAAAATCACAAACATTTCTCTTTTTTTATACTTATCAATGCATATATACACTTTATGAAAACATTTGAAATAGGATATTCGTCTCGTAAATATTCCTTTTTACATAAAGGTTTGTCCAATGGTTTAAGGAAGGTGTTCAATTTGTATCGGTCACATTCCGGTAATAGATATTCCCTGGTGTCTAAAAATAATGCCGAGAGGCCAACAAATATCCCTACATTTACATTTTGAATAATGGCACGTGTGCAATTAACTTCTGATGATGACTAATTACTGCTAAGGGGATTCAACAAGTTTCAACACGGACTTCGAAATCACGTTACTTGGTTTCCTAGTGAGGTAAGAAGTTGAAGTTGCGTGAAGGCCCCTCACTGGAAGCCCCTTCGGAAACTTTTCATCTCAGTCAGACCACCTGTGTTTACTGCCGTAAACCATGACGCTATTGGCACTATTTTTAACAGGGCATTCCCGGACAATTCAAGTGGTCAAACTGGACATTTGGAACGGACTATGAATATGGGGATAGCAAGGTAACATACTTACATAAGTGGAAGTTCATCCAACAAATACATTCATTAAAAAAAGGCTCTTCACGTGATGTCCATTTAAGTCCAATGAGAGCATATTCGGCACTGTGATCGGTAGGCGCTCTTTAAGTCTACTTCGGCCAAGTATGAATTAGGCTTAATGAGTTCAAAGACACAACGCAAATCTATATATAAGCAACTGTTGTCCGATGTGTAAGAGTTAAGATTTCCGTTCCCAGGCATGCTGGCATCATGAATAAGCCGAATATCACCATTTGGTAAACAATAGTTGGTTTTTCTTTGGTAACCACATAATTTCCAAGTTCAATTTCAGTCTTTATCCGTTTTTCTACTTAAACCCTAAATTTGGATGTAGTATTGTTAATGTTCACATTCCACCTGCTTATAAGGCCGATACACTGTTGCGAGACGAAAGCCATTATTTACTCCATCCAGTATCCATTCCCTATCAGGGTAGTCTATAGGTAAAAGGTTGGAAGGGGTTGTAATCTGTACATTTACTCGCGATCGGGGACCCTGTTTTTTGAAACACACTGCTGTCGGAATTTAGGATGACCAGTGGATGTGTGGTCAGCAGCCATACACACAGCACAAACGTGTGCCGTTTTACAGTTCGATTTGAAGCATTTGTCCGCATTAAAATTGCGACATGTTTTCTGACCAGTAGTAGGAATGGGCCACGACGCCGATCTTGTGTTGGTTTGTTGAACGTACTCCTTGGGTAAAATGATCCCGATGTGTATGACTAAACCTCCAGGATAGCTTTATTCGTTGGATTGTCAGCTTTGAGGAGAATATTTAAGTCCATTAAATCCTGATGATGTATTCCTCACTGGAAACCCTCTGTCGCTCTCGGTACTCCCGGTCATAAAGTAATACCCTAAGCCACACATACTTAGACGCTAGTTGAAAAATCATAGCTGAGTAATTCAAATAGTTGACGGAATCCGAGAGGGTTCCGTCCCTAAGCAACGTGTTCATTATTCTTATGTTTGCATAGCTCCATTGCTCGATAGTCAACTTGGGTACATTAGCGTATCCGGTTGAAACGGTTGAATAGGTTGAACCTGTAAAGAAAACGACAGTCGCAGATCTGAACCGAGGCTGAATTCAGAACAATTCGGCACGTGTAGATTGAGGGGTCCAGACCTGACCGAAACTAAAATGCTGACTATTGCCAATTTGCGTTATTTCTTTCTTTAACAATGTCAAGTCACATGTAGTTTTTAAGATACGTTATGTAATTTAGCGGACGGATGAAAGAAGGGCAAATTATTCTTGATACATCGTTTATTATTCTCCAAAACTGTGCATTTTTAGCTCTGCTTATAGAACGGTCTATGTATGCGCCACATGAACCGTTTCAACCGGGATACGCGAATGTAGCCCTTGTCTAATGCTTTTTGTTTCCCGATCCTGAATTCCACATTACCACCCAAAGTTACAGTCTCAGCGCCGGAACGGGATCCCACCAGACATAGTCAGCTATTTTGAGGGCTTTTATATCACTGATCTTGAGAACATCAATACCAATGGGCCTCGACGTATTGTTCTCATCTGTTGTCCCATGGATTCCATCCGTTGCTAACGAGGTCGACGGGGTCGGTCCGCTCCGGTCACGATGGAAGACATGGCGGCCATCTTGCCGTTAGTAACTTCCCGTAGTTTTTCTCTTTCCTCCTCGATTTGAGCACGGATTTCTGCTTTCCGTCTCGCCGTCTTGATCTGTTCCAATTTTATGGTCAGTTGGTGTATCTCATCATCAGACGGGGCATATGCGGGTTTATTTGTTTCGTAAACCTCGCCATCAACCACGATGGCCTAAGGGTCATCGGCCTGTTCCTGAATGGAATCTGTTCCAGCCTCTTCCGTAATAGCTTGGATGATGTCTGTCATTCGTGAACCAGCATTCCCACGTCAAGGTCTCGATGCCATTACTCTGGACAAACTCCGCTGAGTTTTGTCCGATTATAATTTTTTGTAAGCAGGCAATCCGCTGGGCACCACCAGCAAGCACATGGAACTGATATTCAAAACGAGGCCGCGTTACAAGCAATGTTAGCTAAGCTATCAACATACGAAAATAAGCCAGGGTGGCGAAAACACCAACTACATGTATCTCAAATTAAATTAACAAATAAATAACACTTCATACCCGAGTAACGGCAAAGAATATTTGGCTTTGGATCAACGAACAAATGACACCACAGTCGCTTTTGATGGCGTTTTGGAGTACCGATATCGATCAATCACGAACTGATCGTGAACAAAAAAAATATTGGACTAAATAAATTCCAATATAAATATCGAAGTGAAAATGAAAAAGCTCTCATGGTTACCTGAATGTAGGTCGAGTCGCTAACGTTTGAATACTACACAATGTTCTTGATCAAACCTTTTGAACTTTTGATCAGAGAAATTTTAGTTGTTTAATTGTTACAGCTATTAAACTTTTGATCATAGAGATGTAATTCTTTATCGTTGTTTCAGCTATTTGACTTTAGACCATGTTCCATCTATTAGACTTTTGATAGAAATTTGAATCACAGAAATTTAAGTTGTTATATTTTTTTCAATTTGTCCAGCTATCAGACTTTTAATCAGAGAGATATGTTTCCAAACATTTTCTTCATGATGGTAAATATGTATTGTATAAAGGTTCATGTAGCACAACCAGTGAAACGTTTACGCGTGTCGTTTTAGTGACTAATACCATATATGTACATTGTTACCTTCATCAGACAAGTACTTGACTGCTTAAGCGGTTATATCCAAATTAATAATAATAATGATAATAATAATAATAATAATAATAATAATAATATTTAAAAGCGTATTCACTTAGTTATATACATTCATGAAATTTCGACACCAGTACCGGCGTTAACGTTAATGCTAGCATTATAATGTCGAATAAATTGTAACTTTGTTGACATATAACAAAAACGGTCTTGTATTTTGAAAAGATGGAAGTGTTGATTTCTTTGAATTTCGTGAATCAATCTGTGTTGTGAAATGTACTTAAATAGTGAATATAGTGAGGAACTGTAACGCGCTCCCTATACTAAACTGCGAGTAACCGCCCCTGAGTGATATCCGGAAGTGGAGAAAAACATGGTTGCTAGTTGAAGGTCGACCATAACCCGTTATCTTTATTTTCATCCCTTGGGCGTCCAGTACTGTTCACTGCTCATCAAAATGGCAGCACATCCTCTTTCCACCAGTAAGTATCAGCCGATATGCAAAACAAAGCAAACTAGTCGATACATTTCCCTTCAGATACACCAAAATCAGACCGGTGTACATTCTACTTTGCGTCCTCTCACTTGAGAAGATGTGCTGAAACTCCTATGTATCCTCTCAAGTAGGACGAAAATCCCCTCATCAAGGACACATTTATACACAGGCTACAGCGGTGGATATATAATCAGTCATAACTTATTTCTCTTTTTTTAAATATCAATAGAAAATAGCGCATTCGTATTCACTGCCTAGGATATCTAAGATCCTACTGTTAGATTGTATCAGACGTTCGTTATATATATATCTAAAAACACATATTCTATATATTGATATGGGTCACAGCACACCTAAGCATCCGGTGTGCTTTGACCCATATCAGTATAACATGTGTATTTGAGACATTTGTAACAAACCCCTGTGGTTGTATGCTTCTTTTGGAATTTGAAAAACAAATCAAAATGTCGTTTGATTACCAGCTGATAAACCATATTACCATCTCATGATCTGTTGGTCTTGCAATTTACAATATACTGACTCATTGGTTCAGAAAAATGCAATGAAGTACATTCTAAAAATCGATAATTCATATACGTTCATTATTTTTACAGTCGCTGCAAATTAGATTATGTTGTGTGGTGTATCATTTATCTATTTGTAAACAAAGTACACAATATATTATCAAAAATTCTGTTTGCTAACATGTAGTTTGTTACTTCGGCTATGTACTGGCTCTGAGTGGTTCAAACCTTACTGTATGGAAGTGGTTCAAGGTGTAGAGCCAACGCTGTTACTTCAGTTTAGGTTTGGTTTGTTCTGTTTATCCCTTACCTGGGTACCACCTGTTCATCGCTTACCTGGGTACCACCTGTTTATCCCTTACCTGGGTACCACCCGGTATGCAGGGCGATTGAAGAAAATGGCAAACTAAGTTTAAGAGTCAATCGCAACAGGTTCCGAACAAGTTAAGTTTATTTTTAGGTAGCGTCTACGGGTTTCGCCCGAACAATAGGCTTCTTCAGGACATTTAAGGTACAAAAAATCGGGACACTTTTATATTGTTATCTGTGACGACGTTTAATCAAAGTCCCGATGTTTTTCTTTAGCGTTCCATAGCGGTTATTTTATATTAACTACTTATTTCTGGCTTATTCAACTTATATAACATCGTGTGATGATCCCTGTCATAATAAATTATATCAATATGTAAAGGTAAGTAATGTTTTTTTTTTTAAAGTTCGCATCTGTACAGGCAGAAAGAGACTAATACAGATGTGAACTTTTGAAACATGTTAACGTCAGGTATTGCAAAATATTCCCATATTGCAATGTTTCACAATATATTGTATTCCTGGTAATAAAATGTATTTATAATGTATGATGTTATAAAGAAATGGAAAAATGGAAAATCAGCTCAACAAGCGTCATTAATTAATTGAAAATTAGTTTTATATTGTTTTAGAAGTTATCACATCAAATAAACAAAATGTTGAAAAATATTGATTCAGTTTTAACAACATTTCTATGAAACTATTTCATGACTGGTTAAAACTAAAAGCTATGTGTTGAATAACAGTGCAATTTAATGGATTTATTGCCTTTCAGAACAATATTGCAATATTATATTGGTCCAGGTGCATGTGACACCAGATTCCTGGGATATAAAACCATTCATTCTTATTTAAGAAATAATATTTGAAAAAACCCAGCTTCAAATGAAATACCACATACAAGTTGCGAAAAACCAAACCCTTGGTATCAATAGCAAAAATAAAACCAAACTAACAAACAAATAAAACTATACCACACAGATCACACACCATGGAACAGGTATTTCAATGCAGAAAGATTTATTTTATGTGCATGAACGCAAGATATGAAAATCATGTATCAACAGCTAAATTTTCCGTTTCACAGAAAACTCATTCTTTTATATGTGAGTAATAGTTCCAGGACGGAATCTCATAGTAAAACATATTTATGTAAATAGGGTAAACAAATTGACCAAAAGAATTTTAGATAAACAGAGCTACCGTGTCCAAAGATACTGAGAAAGACCAGGTATTGTAAAAAACACGTACCGTATAGAGGACGTACATTTGTTTTCAAAATAAAGTAAGTTGTAATGTTATTTAACATATTTTTATATCACAAGACTTATCTTCACATGGAAAATATATATTCCGATAGTACTTTATAAACGCGAATTTGAAAAACATTAAAATCCTCCAAAAAAATAAATACGAATACGCAAACTCACAAATTAGAAAATCACTTAGGAAACGCACTTTTAACACTGGTCATTGAGGCATTACTGCCAAAGTCACTGTCGACCGTTCTAGTTTATACACTTAATTCCTTCTGTAACCAAAGTTAGCGTCATTTTCAAGATACTTTGCTGTGAGTTTTGTGTCGTGAAACAATTTCCTTTTTCGTCCGTTTTTCAGCACAACGAATAATTTTCCGTCTATACTATAAGGGCTTTGCACACAGTCCAAGTGATAAGCCTCCTTAAGTCTTTGTTGATTAGCTTTTGTGAGGTCCTCGAAAACTGTGAATCTGGATCCCTTCAGCGTCCTACGAGCCTTGATGATAAGATTCATTCTTATCATTCTTTACCTGTGATTTTTTGTGACAATGGAGTGGCCAAAATAAAGTTATATTTAGCCAAATCCACATCAAAACAAGTGATGATAACAGACATTGATGACACAGATTACATATCGGGAAAAATGGTGCATCAAGAAAACATGATGTTAACCGAATGTACCATATTGCAATATTATTGCACGCACCTACACGAACGTGTCAAAGTTCTAGTGTATCCTTTCAATTTAAAGGATGTTCCAACCTTTCCAATATAACTGCCCTCAAAAAGTTCAAGATTTTTCTATGACACAAGATACAAGATTATATTTATAATAGATATCATATGCCGTCCACACATAAGCTATTGTTACATGGAACAGTTATGTATATATAGATGATGTGCTAGCATATTAATTACCATATATTCACCTTTAACAGAATGTACAGGTTACATTTAGTCAAAAATATCTTATTCCTGAAATTATAGTTTTTCTCTACCTACTTTCAACTTTCGTTTTAACCGTTAGTTTTAATTTGTATTTCACAGGTAAAAAGAGCTCAAGATCTGAACTTACTAAAGATGACATTGGCCACCAGGCAAGATTTTTGTTGAACAACTTTATTCATGAACGCATTCAACAGGATGTTGCAGATCAAGTACCAGCCACAGATGACTTACAGGAACCAGGAACCCCAACAGGTAGATACCATCAGTCTAACCACAAGCCTTGCAATGAAATGACATTAAACTTGGCATGCCTTCTGTAAAAATTCTGCCCACTTGATATCAGTACATCATTTTCATTGTGCTTCTTGTCAATGAAAACTATTTGTTATTTTATTTGTCAGTTTACTGTATGTAAATGTTGATTTAGTACTTGTAGCATTAATTTGACTACACATATTGTAATATTGTATCATAAATTTCATATTATTTTATTGAAATAATTTTAAAATATAAGGAGAAGTCACATGTCATGTTAAGAAACAAAAATTTAAGATAAAAAACTTTCTCCACCCAGGAATTTCAAATTTACATGATCCCTATTAAAGCTAGGAATACATTATATATTTATGTAGCACGTTTCTGAATATAAGTCCATTACTAGTATAATAAAACTTTTCTGTCGTTTTGTCACAGGGCCTCCAATGGAACACATTCGTGAGATTGGTCGAGCTCTTCGCTGTATTGGAGATGAACTAGATCGCAATGAAAATATACAAAAGTAGGTTGAAATTGTAGATTAATTTACAATAATGTTTTTTTGTCAATGACCTCCCCACACAACTTAAATTATAATGATTTTGTACATTTTGCGTTCAATTTACAAATTTTGTTTAATTACCAACATTGAATGATGATTATTAGTCTCCTCTAATACTATCATGGTTGAAGTGCTTTTATATTATTCAAAACATGAAAGTATTTTCATATTGATAAAACTGAAGTTTACACAACTAGTCATTAGATGATTTGGCTTTGTTTTAGTCTCTGTACAAGAGTTCCACCAGATGCTCCACATCAAACTTTCCTAAATGTTGCCAAGAGTTTCTTCTCTGACGGTGTATACAATTGGGGCCGAGTGGGATCTCTCTTTTATTTTGCTTACAGAATGGCTTTAAAGGTAAGACAGGTCTATATGACAGCTCTAGGCTCCATAGCTGTTACACTATCCTTTTGGTAATTTATCCCTTAGATAATTTCGCTATAGCTAAGACAAAGCTAATGGCACTATTTACTCAACATATATTTTCAACTTAAAATTTTACATAATATTTAAATGTGTAAACTCAGGGAAAATCTTGTGATGTTCCATTACATATGTTTTAGTTGTTTGATTTATAAACTTGTCTTATACAAACCCTGATCTGCATTAATTTGTTTCTTTTGTTTTTAGGCTTTAGACAAAATAGCCCTGATACGAGCAATTGTCAATTGGGTTGTAAATTTTATCATAGAAAATGTTGCCCCATGGATAATTGAGAGAGGAGGATGGGTAAGTACTCAACATATACATGTTACAGCAAAATAATGAAAGTTTTGAGATCAAAATTTTGGGATATTTTGGACATCATTATCTGTGGAGATAAAATATATCTATTTTAGCATTTCAATTCAAATTCTTACAATGCTTTGATAAGACTCCCACAGTTTACATTGTATAGTGAATGCAAAAATATTTTTGAATTGACGAAGGCAGTATAACAGTGCTTTACTGCATTGACGATTATAATCATTGTATTTGAAGACTTCTTACACTAATACCTAATAATAAAACCTTTCAGGAGGCCATTGTGGAGTATTTCGGAACACCGTTTAGCCAGGTGATGTCAGTGTTTGCGTTGGGTGTGGCCCTCAGTGCTGGTGTCTACCTGTACAAGACAGGTCATTGAGAGAACCAGAGATATTAGTGAGAACTGTGCAATGATGGGCGCCGCCTCGTCTCCTGATCAAGGTGGCGTCCTACACTCAGAAGACATGTAACTTGTGTCAGTGGAAGTACCTCTGTTGAGAGACATAATGACTACAACAATCACTACTTAGTCTTACTTACTGTTGGATACACATTGTAACACTTGTTACTGATTGACAGGTTATAAAATATGTTACCTGTTGATGGATAACTGGTAAAAATTGTTATTTATTGATGGGTGTATGGTAACTCTTTACTTATTAATCAATATTTGATGTAACAATTGTTACATATTGACAGACATGTGATGACATAAAAATTACTTTGATGTAATAAATGATACTTATTGTCAGATATATGTAACTAATGTTACACAATTCAATGTATCATGTAACAGCTGGTATATTAATCTGTAGTGTACTAGCTGGAGAATTGACCTACTTAAGTTATTAGCATGAACATTTTCTTGTTACTAAGTTCTGATGTTGTAGACAAGCTGGCATCTATGGAATTTGTTTACATAGAAAGTTAAAATCATTGTTTCCATTTCCATGTCATAAAATCTAATTTTTACTCCAGAAGAATAAAAAAATCTTTCAAGATATGATGTGAGTAAGAAATTGTTTTAAAACTTTTATTGTCATAGATTTATAGCCAATCAACATATGGAAGACATTTTTCATCTTGCATAACATCAGTAGACTTTTTTGTGGGACTCCATTGAAAGTAAACCTTGAAGTATTCATTCATCTGTGAAAAACTTAAGTTTGAGTCCAAGACCTATAAGACTACTGTGTTGTTTTCTCATGATTAATACATCCCTGTGTTGCAGGGGATCATTCTTTTTTCCTGTTAGTTGTATTACAGGGGACCATTCATTATTCCACTGGGTATATAATGCTGAGGTCATCAATCATTTCCTTATTCCTCTCCGTGTAACTGATGGGGGCCATTCATCATTCCTCAAGCAGACTGCTACAGAGTATTTGTTAGTCTTCTTATTCCTGGTTGCACTGCTCAAGGGATCATTCATTATTTCATTATTCCTCACATGCACTACTTGAGAGATCCTACATTATTTCGTTTTCCTCACAGTTGTACTGTTGAGGACCATTTTTTATCCAGTAGAAAGTATTACATGTGTTCTCTTATTTGTTATGATTATTTTTTTAATGTACATAGTCTTGGACTAAATTATCAGATTTGTCTACATTTGTATATGATTTAGTTCTGATGCATAGTTTATGATAAGGTCTGAAAAAAAGGTGACTGAAGGTTCTTTAAATACATTTAATAAATTAATCAGATTGAATGAATGCCATAAATTATTTTGAAAAAGATAATTTAGTTGAGAAACTCCAACTGTTTACATGTCAATAAAAGTCTAAGTGTCTTAAGTTACTGGAGGACTTAAAATATGCTAAAAAGTAGTGACTTTCAATTCACTACTGTTTTTTGAATTATTGATTATGGTGAAAATAGTGCTAACTTTGATTTGTTTCATTTAATGACAAAGTGATACCTACTCTAATGGCTGCTTTCACCTCTGTATTACAATTAAAAAGGTGTCAAGCTGGTACATATGCATACTAGAAACCAAATGTCTAGAGTGACTACTAGCTTCTAAGTTAAATGCTATACAATAAGAATGATATCAGTACTAATGTAAAATATTGACACTTGAGGGTATTCTGGTAGTGTTGCGTAGCTCCTATGTCCCTTTGTACTGACTGATTTTTATTTTATTACAATGTATTGGTGGTACTATTTACTTTATAGATAACTTTCTGGATGATTACTGCAAAGCAGTATAAATGAATGTAGTGTTGTTGGTGAAACAATCTTATGTACATTTGGCCTACAGATCCTACACCATGGTGTATCATAACGGTGATCTTTGCACTGTAGTGTATCTTGGTCTAATAGAGTGAACGATTGGATTAGGTTAAATGTTACATACAGATAAAAATTACGGCCAGTTTGTAAACATGTGATTCATTCCAGCCTTCCCCAATGTTAACAATTAGTTACCGGGAGTTCTGTTAATGTATTATACATCAGCAGAAGGCATTGTAATTGGTTCAAGTAGATTATAAATCAACTATTACTGAAAGTACAAGTTATATAAATCAGCCACTGTCATACTATGCTCATCGCCACACACACCAATGTGTAACTCATGTTCATGTTATTATGTTGTTTTTGATTCATTTGTGTTTGAGTTGTGAAATGCAAAAATGTGCTTGTATTTTCCGTTTGAAATGAACATGTAAGTCATATATACACATTGTATATATTTGCTAGTATTTTCTAATCGAAATATGAATATGGAAATGAATGCTGCTAAGTCAAATAGAATGTGACTTTTTTTTTTATTTGTGCCCATTTTGAAGTTTAAGATTTAGAGAACATGGTGGTGAAACAGACATTTATGTTTGTTCTGGTTTTATACAATACTTGTGTAGTACACATAGAAATCTGCTTCATTGATATCCCCAGTTCTGAGGAGCTGCTTTCCAGGTTAGAGGAGGGTCAGGAAGATTTGATAAACATTCTCTCACCAAGTTTGCAGGCATCCTCCTTCAGTAAGGTACCAGCCATCACCTTCTCCACGTTTATATGGGAATCTTCAAAAGATCTGTTTGCTGGTCGTGCAAAAATGTGGGAATTGTTTGTCTCATGCAAACTTGAAAATGTTAACTCTCAAACTAACAATAAAAAATGATATATCCCTTAAAAAATGGTTCCAAAATTACGTGCAAGGAATTTTCAAGTTCATGTTGAGTGAATTTTACTGAAACAGTTTTTTTATTTGGATAGATATTTCAATTTCTTCTCAGTTTTTACATGGTCAGCAATTCCTGCTCACTGATAGATTGTAAGGTCTGAGTGATGTGTTGCTATTTTAACGATTTATACTCACTGATAGATTGTTAGGTCCGAGTGATGTGTTGCTATTTTAACGATTTATACTCACTGATAGATTGTTAGGTCTGTTGCTACATGTAAGTTTGTAGCACTATGTAAATAGCAGTTAGCGCTCTTTGACAGAGATCATTATGTTTATCACATGTTCACTGTTTTGCTTACTTTATTTTCATTCATTTAAAAATGAAAATAGCACTGCTGTTAAAGTATCTTCAAGTATAAAATATTTCTATGTTTTCATCAGGATCTTGAAATTTGAGAATGATCCTGAAATTAGACTTTGTTTTTATATAGTATTATATTATATATCCCGGTTTTCATTCTGCTTTCGTGATTCTTGGAACCTTGTAAAAATGGAATTATCACATTTCAGTTCAATACAATTAAGTGTAAATGTTACATACAGTCAATGTGTCATGTGTTATCTCCCTTGCGATATGATTCAGAATTACCGTAGTGTTATCAATGTACACACTCCTGTGTATCCTCTATGGGTCATTAGTCATTTAGCCAAGTCAGATTTATCATTCACAAATGACATTTGACAGGTTTTTAGGAAATAACTCTTTTGAAAATGCAATATACATTACAGTAATGTGGCATATACCCTTAAGTCTTGATACTGTCCGAGCAGTCAATGTTACATGTGAAATTTCCAAGGTATATACAATTATCGAATGAGATATTTGAAGGTTATATAGATTGACTCTCTTTCTTTAGTATATGTGTAGCCAATCAAAACGAGCTGAAAATTACAAAACATAAACATTTGTATTTTGTATATAATTTGTGACAAAATTGTCTGCTTTCATCATCATCTGATTTATATCATTTTGAACTCAGAATGTACAGTCAATGAAAAATATCATGAAATTGATTTAACTCTCTTGTACATGTGCCATCATAATTTTTCGATTGATAAAAAGTGATCTTCACAGGATTTTGAGGTATTTGTGTTTGTACTTTGTTTTGTGAATTGTGTTTAGTAGTCAGGGTATATACATGTACAGTAGATTAATATGTTTCTTTTCTGATTTGTTGTGTGATATTCAACTCTAGTCACAGGACAAAGATATTAACTCAATCATAAGAATAGAAATATTGACTCATCCACAGTACAGGGGTGTTGACTCAGTCACAGGACCAAGATCTAGGAAATCAGGATAAGAAAACATAATAAAGTGTGTGTACGAGAGAAAAGCAATTCATTTTTCATTGATAACAGGTGGAGAAATCCAACTTAATGTTTAAAACATGTGCTTGCTGTATTTACAATTCAACTAACCTGAATATGTATACATATAGTTATTGATCAGTTGAATGAGAACCATGGGCTTGGTTATAATCTCAGGTTTTACTCACCTTCTAACACATCCACATACTGTAGATATTGCCTCCTGAAATGCTGTTTTCCCTGGGTCACAGACTCTGTTGTCACCAATTTCATCATCAGCAGATTCCAGCCTTTGGTAGAAACAGTAGCATATAAGTAATATATCAGTAACGAAAAAAATCAATTGAATTGATGCTAGAAAAATAATGACTTTAGTATGTTAAGAAATCTCAATCCTCAGGTAACTGGTGAAAATGACCCAGATAAACCGGCTTAGGTAACTGTTGTAGGGTTATCAGTGGTAGGTTAATCTGATAAACCCTATAGTAAATTGAAGGGTATTGATGAATGGTGACCCTTACAAACCCTGAAGTAAATGCTGTAGGAGTATCAGTGGTAGGTTAATCTGATAAAAACCTATAGTAAATTGTAGGGTATTGGTGAATGGTGACCCTGATAAAACCTCAGGAAACTGTAAATAGTGATCATTTACCCTTATACGATCACTTGTAAGTGTGTAACACTGTTTCTGTGATCACTAATACGAGAATAACATCTGTTTATATGATCACTAATCAAACTTTTATTATTTGATTATAACCTCTATCATGGTGATATCTGATTATGTATGCACTCTTGCTCATTTCATGACATAATATATTACATTAACAATTAAATAACAAAAACATACCTTTCTTGTTCTTTTCACTGCATTTTTCATTTGATTTATTAGCTCACCTGGCACGAAGTGCCAAGTGAGCTTATGCCGTGGCGCGTCGTCCTTCTGTCGTCCAGCGTCAATATTTTACTTTAAACGACTTCTTCTTAATAACCGAAAGGCCTAGGGTGATGATATTTGACCAGAAGCAAACTGGGATGAAGGGCTACAAAGTTTGTTAAAATTAATGACCTTCACCCATATTCAAGGTCACAGGGGTCAAATATGTTAAAAACTTTAAACATCTTCTTCTCAATAACCCAAACTGCCCAGGAGATGATATTTGGCCAGTAGCATGCTTGGGTGAAGGGCTACCAAGTTAGTTCAAATGAATGACCTTCAATTATATTTAAGGTCACAGGGGTCAATTGTCTTAAAAAACCTTTAAACAACTTCTTCTGAATAACCCAAATGCCAAGGGTGATGATATTAGGCCAGTAGCATGCTGAGATGAAGGGCTACAAAGTTTGTTCAAATGAATGACCTTCACTCGTATTCAAGGTCACCGGGGTCAAATATGTTAAAAACTTTAAACAACTTCTGAATAACCAAAATGCCCAAGATGATGATATTTGGCCAGTAGCATGCTGAGATGAAGGGCTATCAAGTTTGTTCAAATGAATGACCTTCACTTATATTCAAGGTCACATGGGTCAAATATGTTAAAAACATTTAACAACTTCTTCTGAATAACCAAAATACACAGGGTGATGATATTTGGTCAGTATCATGCTGAGATGAAGGGCTACCAAGTTTGTTCAAATGAATGACCTTCACCCATATTCAAGGTCACAGGGGTCAAATATGTTAAAAACTTCAAACAACCTCTTCTCAATAACAAAAATGCCCAAGGTGGTGGTATTTGGCCAGTAGCATGCTGGGGTAAAGGGCTATCAAGTTTGTTCAAATGAATGACCTTGAATCATATTCATGGTCACAAGGAGCAAATATGTTCAAAATATTTAAAGAACTTGTTCTGAATAACTAAAAGGCTCAGGATGTTGATATTTAGTCAGTAGCATGCTGGGATCAAGGACTACTATGTTTGTTAAAGTGAATGACTTTGACTTATATTCAAGGTCACAGGGGTCAAATTTGTTTAAAAGCTTTAAACGACCTCTTCTGAATAACCATGGGTCCAAGGATGTTGATACTTCTCAAGTTGCATCCTGAGATGAAAGGCTATAAAATGTGTTCAACATAATGACTTTGTTCGACTTTCAATCACAGGGGTAAAATGTTTTTAAAAAAAAATAACAGGCTCTTTTGAATGAATTTTAATAATAAATACTGATATTTTGCCTGTAGCTTTATTTTAAATCACTTTAAAGGTTCGAGTGTGAGATTTATACCAGGTGAGCGATGCAGGCCCATTGGGCCTCTTGTTTATACTGACAGTCATGAGGTTTACTCTCTTTAGCACACTCGTAGCCGATGTTTACACCTAACAAGAAGAGTTTACTTTTCAATTATTTGCCACGAATTGTTTACCATATTACAAGCATACATAATATTAGAAACTAGTAATAATTGTAACGGATGGCCGTTACAGATTAGTCCCCCAAACGAGCCCTGTTGGACTTAGGAACTTAGGCAAAATCAGACAACAGCTAAATTTCGACCAATCAGAGGCCTCTATTTCGTTACCATGGCAACTGAACTTTTCGAAACTGTCACCATTGTGTTCGATATCCCTGAAAACCCCTATGTACAAATTTTGGGCAGAATCAGACAACAGCTAAATTTCGACCAGTCAAGAGGCCTCCATTTTCGACCAATCAGAGGCCTCCATTTCGTTACCATGACAACTGAGCTATTCGAAACTGTTTCCATTGTTTTCGGCAGCCCTGAAAACCCTTATGTACCAATTTTCAACGAAATCAGAGCCAAAAACTCCAAAACCGGAAGTAAGGATCTGGCGGCCATCTTGGACTTTCGATCGAGATAAAAATAGCCTGTTGCACACCTTGACCCCCTAATGTGTATGTGTGTGAAGTTTCATGATGATCCGCTCAATAGTTTCTGAGGAAACCTCTGGACAAGTTCATGGCTGAAGAAGAAGAAGAAGGAGAAGAAGAAGAACAGAGGAACTAGTACTAATTGTAACGGATGGCCGTTACAGAAGTCCCCCAACAACCCCTGTTGGACTTAAAACATTTGGCAGAATCAGACAACATCTAAATTTCGACCAATAAAAGGCATCAATTTTATTACCATGGCAACTGACATTTTCGAAACTGTTACCATTGTTTTCTGCATCTCTCAAAACCCCTATGTACCAAATCTGGGTAGAATCAGACAACATCTAAATTTCGACCAATCAGAGGGTCCATTTCGTTACCATGGCAACTGAGCTTTTCGAAACTGTTACCATTGTGTTCGGAATCCCTCAAAACCCATATGTATCAATTTTGGGCAGAATCAGACATCTTTTAAATTTCGACCAATCAAAGGCCCCAATTTCGTTACCATGGCAACTGACTTTCTCGAAACTGTTACCATTGTGTTCGGCATCCCTCAAAACCCCTATGTACCCATTCCAAGCAGAATCAGACTACATCTATATTTAAACCAATTAGAACGCAGTATATGGTAACCATTTTGTCAAATTAGAAAACAAATGTCGCAGTTGAGTTTGCAATGCCATATTACACATACATACTAAATTTCAACGAAATCTAACTACAACGGAGCTTCGACCAATCAGTAACCAGTATATGGCATCCATTTTGTTTAATTAGAAAACGGATGTCATAGTTGAGTTCGCGGTACCTCCATACACCTACTTGCCAAATTTGGATATCTATAAAACATGTAAAATAGGATAGGTGACATTGGCTAACCTTAGCGAACACCTTTAGAAATTTTAAATTCCCAAAAATTTCAAAAATTCATAGCGGCCATATTGGACTTCCGGTCGAGATAAAAATAGCTTGTTGCACACCTAGACCCCCTAATGAGTACATGTGTGTAGTTTCATAATGATCCGCCCAGTAGTTTCTGAGAAAACCTCTGGACAAGTTCATGGCTGAAGAATAAGAAGAAGAAGAAGAACACAGAATAATAATAATAAGAAGAAGAAGAAGAAGAAGAAGAAGAAACGGAGTAAAAACAATAAGTCCCCAAAACAAAGTCCCCAAAACTTTGTTTTGGGGGACTTAATAAAAACAATAAGTCCCCATACAAGAAGAAGGAGAAGAACACAGAGGAATAAAAACAATAAGTCCCCAAACCATGTTTGGGGAACTTAATAATAATATAATTTTCTGTTTTCATATACGCGATTGTTAACCACGAACGACCAATGTTGTAAACTCCCTTAATCACACAATCGGTCATAATTTTAATTTTAATCTAACAATTAGCATTAGCTGCATTCGAAAGCACTGGCCAGGCGAGATATGTTGGTCTTTCGTAACGTTTAACTATATTTACACTGAAGCTATCACCCTATCTCTTGCTGGATCAAATTACCATTAAGTTTGCTAAGAACGGTTTGAGATTATTATACCTCAGATTTAATGAAAACCAAATGATAATTTTCACTACGATACCCTCCATATTAAGTATAAGAGGTGAAAGTAAAAAGGATGCCAGATTTGTGATTTTTAATAGCAAAAATTATAGTGCCGTGTGCGTACCCGAGAGTGGTGTAATATAGCGTACTGGCTGCAGTACTACTAGTTTGTGTTTGCTCCTGTTTCTCTGGCGACCTGTATTACGTTATCATTATCAGGTCGGTGACTGCACTATCTATACGTGTTCTTTGCTCTACGAAGGTCTCGGGTGCTGTTACAGTATTCTAGGTGAGACAGAACCAAAGTCTCGTGTTCCTCCTTAGCAATTCAAACGATTGGTTTGCAGCGTTATTTTTTTGTCAAATTGTGTTCTAAATGTGATGTTTTATTTTCTTCTTTTACAGGACAGATCCCTAAGGTTGGAACGGCAGCTGCCGGGTAATGTCTATGTGATCATTTGCAGAGGTGGATTACATATAAAAGAGAATGTGTTACCTACGCTAAAAATCGAATCTTATGTTAGTGTTCATCGTATACAATAGAATTAGTAACCAATAAGTTGTTCACCGAGTAGGGGTTGGAGAATTCTAGTTTACACAGAAATTAGAAAACCAGAAGTTGATATGTCGATGGTTTACAAAAATAATGTGAGCAAGATAAAATAAAGCTGCAGATGTATAAAATTCCTTTATTAGGTAGTTGTGTTGATATTTCGTTTCTTTGGCGACACCAACCGGTCAGTGTTAACAAATGTTCGATAATGAAGGCTAGCTGGTGCTGAGGACCTCAATGACAGCACGGACTTAGATCTAATTCCGTGATGACAGTTACAAAAACTGTTGTAGGTTAGTATCAAACAGTTTTAATAGCGACAAGGCTGTCCTTTGTGGCTATGGGTGTTGAGACTTGTTTCAAGTCGGTAATGGTCCAGGGGGAACTATTTTGTGGCAGCATTTTTCTTACTAATTGGTCGAAATTGTTGTTCCCTCTGTAGTCTGTCTTGGTCAGGTGGTGGTCGGATGGAGTGGCTATAACGCCGTTAGTTACCTGCCCTGACATGTCTCTTGTTCTTAACTTTAGATTAAATTAAAAAGGGAAAAGTCCCGTAAGAATTACCTTTGCAAATACAGAAAGATTTATATTAGTATGTCAACAACTAGCAGAACTTCCGCAAAACTGGATCTATATTGACAAAACTTGCCATAGGAGCATATAACACCTTAGGGAAAGGCTACTCTCATCCAGATAGACTTACACGTTTCATGGTTGAAACTCATTTGCAACAGGTCTGTCCTTCCACTCCTGTAGTCTTCCAGATCTTCGTTTCGTCGTACAGTGCCTTCCCCTGTGGTGATATTTTGTAGAGCATGCGAATAGCCAAAGAGTGACTATCTGAATTCTAAAACTATTAAACAAGAATCTGTATTTATAAACAAAGTTATATGGATGGTTCTGCTAGTTACTCAATCCAGACTTTGTCCAGCTAAATACATCCAATACTAGTACCGTAACTGTCTTATTGTGACACTGAATACTCCAAAAGAGGAATAAATCGAATGTGGATTTTAAAGAATTCAAAATATCTTTTGATTAATCTAGAACATCCTCTCTATAAAAAAAGTTTCTTCTATGAGAACTGTTGACATTCTCTTTACTCTATCATATCTCATACCAAACTGGAGTAACGTTTTTGTGTACAAATAATTAGGTACAAAAAACATTTAGTAAGTTCGAATAAGATATAGACTTATTATTCTGACCAATGGGCCCAGACCAGCTCAGGCCAAAATTTGAGACCAGACAAACGAGACCAGGCCAAACCAGACCAGACATGTTTAATAGTGGAGACTGATATCCCTGTCCACTTTTGACATTAATTACTTTATCCCAATGGCAGGCAGCTCGTCCTTTCAGCTGCATATTCCATCTATAAAACGACAATACGTATTACGCAATACCTAGTGAAGCAAAGCTGACTTTAAACTCAATATTATCGCTTATACTAACGTTGAAATCTGACTTTCTATTCTAACTGGTTGCAATATGACTATTACGTCATCCTCATTGGCTGAATTCCTTATTCTGATTGTAGTCCTGATAATGAAATTGAATGTATATAACCCTAAACATTCAAATATTGGAAATAAGTTTCGCGTTGAATGATGGGCTTTCTTTGCTATTTTTTAAATCGAAGCATGTGAATATATTGTATTCGTGGTAATAAAATAGTATTCCATTGTGCCCCGATAAAACGTTATGTATTGACATACATTTATATAATCAACAACATTTCGAGCAAAAGACGTTCACCCTTCCGGGACAGCAGGGCCCGTATTCATGAAACCGTTCTAATGCTCAAGCATGGATTTTGTGCTCAAGCCTAACTTCTTGTTCTGGTTATAACTCAATAAATAAATCTTACTTTGTCAATGATTTGGAAACATTTTGAAGAGAATACTGTTTTCAATGTTTACATTTGACTTTTTGATCGTTTGACATGATCTAAGCGAGTTACCAGAAAGTTGGTTTGAGCACAGATTCCATGCTTGAGCATGAGAACAGTTTCATGAATACGGGCCATGGTCTTATTCTCCTTTTACTTTTTAAGAGCCACACTCATTGACTTCAGCTTGCATTAAAGAGTACAGAAAGTGAAAGCCTGAACGTCATGTTAAACAACATGGAGCACATTGCTTTATCACTACAAGTTTAACATTTAGCAATGGATACAGTATATATACTGCCACTGTACCATCAACTTTCGATGTTTGGGTTTTGTCCTAGTTTTACCGATTTTGAATTCAAAGTGCGCTTTAGCTGACATTTGGACATTTGTTATTTTCTTCGATGTTTAAGATTGGTCATTTGTAGCAAAGTACCAACGTGAATAGGGATATTGGGGACTACTGTTTCTGTTTACCTTATTATTTTAATCAGACATGAAGCTACCTCTCTACTCGAGAGTATTTCTCCTATCTATAGTACCATAGTGATGTGGGACCTTGTCGAACACCTTTAAGAAATCAATGGTTCTGCCTTGCCCTGGTCACCATAGTGAAAACACAATGCTATGTCATATATGTTAAGGGTTAGGGTAAGTTGGCCCTAGTAGGATCTAATCTTTCTTGTTTTGCGATGGAGATGTTCTACCAAAATATGAACATTGTAAAAGTTAAACGACGTACCAAATACTTTCAACTATGTCGTTTTTAACTCTAAATTAGACAGATATGTGCACAAATGTGTATTCTTGAACGTAGGAGTTATATAAACTGAAATGTAGACCATTGTCTTAGTTACTTTTCCAAAACTGTCCACTCAAATTATCCACATTTGCTAAATGTGTGCCTGCTCCGAGTTCATTGTATCGGGGTACCCGGTGTACGTGTGGTATGGTAGATTCGTCTGATGGTTGCCCCCGCGAGCTGCCGTCTACAAGGTTTCGGAAACCATATAAAAGACTTCGGTTTGCTCCTGTTATTAAGGTTTTACTTCGAGTTTCCAAGTTCGACTACATTTTGTGTAATATCTGTTGATAAAACTTATATCATTTTAGTTGTTAAACCAAATGAAGTAATTCTTAATAAATGGATATAATGGATAGCAAAAAGGTTCGTTTACTATTCGGTTGTTTTTTTTGCAGTTTTAGCTACACGTACGCCCTAAAATTTGTTCATGGGTTTCGGGTTTCAACTCTTGGCTAGGTTTAGAAGAAATTAACTGTTGGATTATTTATGTATTTAAAGAGAATAGCATCAGGGACCAGACCACACTGGACTAGACCATATTTTATAGCATGCCATTTTTCTGGTCATATTTCTAGTTATCTCCCTTCACCGGAAGTTTGGACAAAGCATACGGCAACGATGGAAGACGAGTACGATGATGAAACTGAGTTGGATCAGCAATATCCACCGCTGCTCAATCTGGGCTCAGCAGACGTCCTTGAGGCTGTATGTAAACTTTAAATCACACAAAATATATCTAACATTAACCTCCTACGGCAAGTCAAACTTTGTTATAACAGGACAGTTAACCGGTTGATTTCGGAATCGTACAAATCAAAATACAGATCTAAAAGGGAAATACCTAACATGAAAAAATGCCTATTATCTTAAGTCTCTGTTTATAGATACTCTGTAGACTAGATGGATGGATGGAGGTTTTTTAAACAATCTCTTCTCTTATGCTGTAAACTGAATAACAGATTATTTAGTGTATGGTAAACTCGGTGGGTGTATGGTAAACTCGGTGGGTGTATGGTAAACTCTGGGGGTCCAGTTTTGGTGCTCATACTGCATGTTTGTAAATTAAGGATCCCCGTTCCACTGCCATAAATGTAACTAACATACTAAACATTGTAAACTTTTAACCTTGCATGACTAGAGCTTTAATGGATCATTTCCGAAAAGAAAACCATACTGTAGTACTTGCAGAACTTAAAATATAGAATCATGAACCATAATATAAGCAGTGTTCTGGGTGTAAAAATGCAATGGATTATGGACCAGATCCAAACCCAGGACCTCAGATCACTATACTGTTGCTAAAATACACTGAGGCTAGATACAATGTACATGTACCCAGTCACTGTCAACTCACTAATTTAAGTTATTTAACCTGGCCCTACACTCAAACAACAATATCCAAAACGAGATTAAGAGAGGCTACTATAATTCATAAAACGAATTTATATATTAATCATCAAAATAATTTTGTAAACATTTTTTTACGACACATTTCCATAAGTTTGGACGGTACGGCTAGTGTGATATTACAGAATTTACAGCATCTGCTATAAATTGATAGACACCAAAACTGAGTACAGAAGGTGAAAGCCTGAACAACGTGGAGAACATTGCTTTATTATTTTGTTCTGATCCATTTATTTAACAATTTCCACCTTACAGGGTCAGCAGCTGGACACAGCTATTTCAACCTTTTTATCAGGGCCGTTTTCATTTAATCGGTCAAACAGGTCGGACCACAGTTGTTCGTTTATTAAATAAGGTCGGACCTAGTAATCTGATGCTGCTTTCAGGTGATCCTTGACAAAGCTTTGCAAGGCCTGCATAAACATTTGCAGGTCCGCCAGGATTTATACCCAAAATTGTTACATTTATAAACGGTCAAACCGGTTGTTCCGCATAAACGAACAGGCCTCAGTTGTTTGTGACTTAGCTTCATTTTAATTATGACTAAAATCTTTGCAAAAAATTGCTCAATGCAACCATAAAATAGTAGGTGTATAAAACTACAGTGTATATAGAAAAAATCATCAGGTTGTACTGAACCTGTGTACCGGGGTATATCACATAATCAAAACAAATTATGGTGGGGTGTGTTGTGAGTACAGGTACCCCAGTAGACACCTTATGTTACCCATACAGATTTATCATGGTGTCTCTTAAAACACAATCTGATTAAAACCAGATCTTTGTTTCCACTCTAATACTTGACATTCCAGACTGGAACGTAGAGCATCAGATTGGAATCAAAGATCTGGTTTTAATCAGATTGCTTAAAACACAATGAAAGCTTGTTAATTTATATGATTTAGACGGAGAAGCATTCAACGCCTTTGTTAATGCTATGGAACCCTGATAAAATCCTATTAAATCCTACTAAATTATTTAAAATGAGATCATTTCTATACAGCACATTGAAATGATCAAATTGAAGATATATGAAGACATTTGACACAAATCAATTATTAAAAAAATATGCTACCAATTCTCAGAGTGAAACTGATTCTCAGAGGACCTTAATGCTATTGTGACTACTATATAATAAAAATAATAATTTGAGTTTCTTATATACTGCTTTATCACAACCTAGTTCAAAGCGGTTCACAAATTACTATCTGTGGTTTTAGGGCCTTTGCAACTAGCCAGTATATTTCTCAACTTCCTAGGGAGCATATACAGCCGGAGCTGCCATTTCGGCGCTAACAGCTAGCATTCAACAATTCTAGCACTGCCCAACCACATACTCATTTTCAGCCGAGTAGACTGGAACAAGCGGAGTAAAGTATCTGGCTCAAGGATACAACACATTGCTGTGCCGTGGCGCAAACCCGCAACCCTTCGGTCACGAGCCGGCGTCCTACCACTGGACTACCGTGCCTCCGAATATATGATATATTAGGTGTCATAGAAAGCTTTCTAATTTAAAACTGAATGCTATCACAAAGAACTTGTGTGATTTTCTGCAGGTGATGAGAGCCAAGGACGGAGCACCAAACCAGTATCAGAGTTTCTGGGAGATGGATGAGGAGGGTGTGGAGGAAGCCACGAATGATGAGATACAGAGTGAGTTTCTATAAATGTTGCAACTTTGCCTTTGCAGCATGCTACATTATCATCTAGAAAGCTTAAAATGATTCCTTGCCTGAACAATTAACTCCTATTCAAAACATTATTGAGGGACGTTCATGCCTATTGATTGTAGAATGGAAATACATAGTGAATGAACATGTTATTAACACAAACACAGGAACCAATGTAAACAATCTTGTGTATAAAGCACAGGTATTAATCATAAGTAATGTTATATACATGTAATGGGATAAATGTGAGATAAACCCTATGCAATGTGCACACAATACTACTGATTTGGGTCACATCGTAGGCAAAAGGAGGCCCTGGTGGACAAGTGGTTTAGGCGTCTGACAATATGCTACCACTAGCCCTCCACCGTTGGGTCGCGGGTTCGAGGCCTAAGCTGTTAATAGGACGTAAAACACAAACAAACTAAAATCGTTGGCAACACTCGTGTACAATGTTTATTAGTGCATATTGGGTTGTGTATTACCTGGTGTCAGGATGTGTATAGAATTGTTAACTGTAATGAGGGGAAACAAATGTTTTGTTGGTAGTGCAGATCGAGCAGTTTTATCTATGAACATTATTATGCCATTTGCAGATAACCCCAAAGTCCGGATTCTTTGGGCTGCAGAAAACAACGAGAGGGAGATCGTAGAGACCATGTTAGCCGAGGACCCTGATTTGGTCAACGCTCGGGATAGTGATGACTATACCCCTCTACACAGAGCATCTTACAATGGCCATGATGATATTGTTAGGGTAAGTATTCTTTGGAAAAGTGTACAATATTTTACCAGGTCTAGAAATTTTAATGCTAAAAAAGGACTTTAGATTGTGTTGTAATGTATCCATTCCCTCGGTAATATTTTAAACCCCTCCACAATGCTGGGACACATTTTATATTGAGCTATATGTCTATTACAGCTTTTGTTGGCGCGAAAGGCAGATGTGGAGGCCAGGACTATCGATGGATGGCAGCCTCTACATAGCGCATCACGTTGGAATCAGGCAGAGGTCGTTGCAACTCTCCTACAACATGGGGCCCCTATCAATGCACAGACCAATGGGGGACAGACGGCTCTCCATCTTGCCTCCTCAGAGCGTGACAGTCGTGCCACCCTGGAGGTCCTTCTGACCAATTGTAACATTGATGTCAGTATTCGTAACCGAGTAGGGGAGACAGCATATGACATCTGTCGTCGGACCAGCGAAAACTGTTCACTGTTCCAGATCACGGAAGATCACATTAACTCTCTTCAATGATTGATAATGTGATGTCTGTAGGATTTCAATTTTTTGTGCTTAAGTTATGCCCCTTTGTAAGCATGGTCGTTCAGCACTGTGTACATGCAGACTTGCCCAAGACCTGATATATGTAAACTAATTTCATAAGAATATTACATCAAAATATAACATTGCTTACATTTGATTAAGGGTAGGCTGCTTTTGAGTGAGGAATTAAGATTTGAAATGTTCAGAAAGGCCATTTTAATATGTACAGTGCTGATCTTCTTGCCTTAAAGATTCTATTTATATGGCCAAGCACACTCTCTGACCAACAAGGGACATGTATGCAATATGGAACATATCATCTGTGATCTGTCTCACACCTTACATTGGTTTAAACTTGTTAGTCTTAGTTAACCAACTGAACTATTTTTTTCCTGGGACTCGTGTTTTGACACCTAGTTTTCTTAGCTCACTTGGTACAAAGAACCTAGATGATCTTAACTTGTACCCTGGTGTCTGTTGTATGTCCATTTATCAACAATTTTTTGAAACAACAGAATTTTAACAACAGAATTTTACCAAATTACTTTGAAACATCTTTCAGTGAGGGGGATTCAAAAATGTACAAATGATGGAGTGGTGGACTCCTTTTTTGGGGAGGAGGGCCTGAGGGACAGGACCAAACACAGTCCCTTGAAAAAATTTAAGTTCCCCATACCTTCAGTGTGGCATTTCAGTGAGATAGCACTATAAAGTCGGCATCAGATCTGCACTATCACATGGAGACAAGCACACCAACATATCCTGTCTCCTCGAGTGGAATGCTGTGCTGGGTGCCTTTGTCATGGTATTTCAGTTAGATAGCACTATACCCTGTCTCCTGCATACACACACGCAAGCACACATACACTACACACACAGAGGCACGTCTTTAAGATATACTACCAGGATTAGCCACCATTATTAGGTCTGCCTCTGCTCTTGTAAACATTGTTCCTTGGTTATTACATAGAAACAATTGAGGTTCCCACCCTATAACTATATATTGTACATACATATGCTTCCAAGATTTGCCCCTGCAACTAGTCAAAGGTCATAACACCGAAATTGTTGAGATCCCAACCCTGGGGACTTAGTCATTTGGTCAAAACATTGAACAAGTTGAGATCACCATGCTGTATTCTGAAGCATTGTTGAAGACTTATTTGCCTTAAAACCTTTAATGGAAAGTTTCCTGATTTTTTTTTATATCCATGTGAGTGATATGAGCCATCTGGGCCTTTTCCTGTAATGATTCTCAAAATAATGCAGATGGGGTTCCATTGCATGATGAAACAGTGCCATATTTAGGAATAATCAATATTAATGGACTTTTTATCAGTTTTTTTCTTGATGTACAAATGAAATTGTTAAGTGAGAAAGGTGTTCTATTGGTAGCCTTCACTTGGTATTATTTGTTGATAGCCGAAACGAGTTTTAACTCCGTTATGGTAAAGCTGCCTGTGTATGGATGGGAAATGATCTTATAAGTCAATAAACACAGGAACTACCTGTTGATTATAGGAATAAAATAGAGTACTTTCTGTACCATTTGAGCTGCCTGGTAACATGTGCCATAGTAAGAATGTTTGTAAAGGGAGATAATTCAGTATTGTTCCACACTTAGTATTGGCGCAGGTTTCAATTCTTTCTCCCAGTCGGCATTGCATGTAATGTCATTGACTGGAGTAATTTCTGGTGTATCGTGTAACGTCATTGACTGGAGTAATTTCTGGTGTATCATGTAACCAATGTATAGGTGATGATATTGTAGTGAATTTTGTTTTGTATTTTGGAGTACATTTTGTATTGTCATGGATTTTTAAAGGAAAGCAAGAAGCATTGATACATTAACATGGCATCCCAATTATTTGTCTAAATACCAAAAAATGTGTTTTTAGCAAATAAGATAATGTATAGTATAGAATTTCATTAAATGTGCTAGTTTAAATAAATCAAAAAAACAATATATCACCTTTCTCGTAGGTCCGACATCTTTGGAAAGCTTGCAGTTTGTTTTGATGCCACTTCACCTTGGATCAGATCTATCTGTGACATGTATGTAGTCACACTTCTATACCACGACATTAACTGTATAATCTATTATTGACCAACATGACTGCTGTGCCTAGATAGTGTCGACAACATTATCCTCAGTCTTAACCCAACCTACAGGTTTGTCACATTTGAAGGGCAATTTAGAGTTTTAGTGCCCATGAGCTTCTAAATTATGCTAAAATGCAGTTTTTCAGTCTGCCTAGTAACAATTTTTGTTCACTAGCACAGAATCCCAATGCCTAGTCATGTTATTGGTCTGTAGCTTTCTGTGGTAAAGAACTACAAATTGTGTTGGAAATATGACTTTGACCCTCATCCATGGTTATTGGTAAGATCATGGGTCTGTCAGATGGGTTAAAACTTTAAATGATTTAATGCATGCAATGAGATTAAAGATTGTAGTCATGATATATGTCTTGAAGCTTGCTCGGTAAGATAGCAGTATATCAATGTATAGCTATGAAAGTGACCCATTTGCAAGGTACAATGTCAAATGTTTAAAATATTAATTGAATGACTTATGCAGAGCTTTGAGACCATCTTTTATGATGGGATGTGAGAATGTATTGCCGTTGAATATAGTTTTTAGTGATGAATTGCCTCTCAATAGATGAAAACAAACGCTTTACTGTGTTTCAGTATTATATCTCTACTGTAGAGTTGACAACAAAACATTATATATGTATCCCTCCTTTTCACATGATATTGTATACATGTACATGCAGTATTTGTTTACTAATAATTGTGATAACCCTTTTAAAAATATGAACAAATTGACCAGTTTTTGCAATACAAGCTTAGGTCAAGATGTTATCTATGAATCAAATTTCTAATGAGATTACAATTAAATGAATTTGATTGAGTTTCTCTATCTGATTGCCCATCAATTCAGCTTTATATTATGTTAAAAGACAGTACTTGATTGTTATCACTCCTAATTCTTGTAGACCTCAGAATCTTTGCAAAGAAATTTGGCAGACGTTTTTTTCCTGAAGACTTGTAAATCACCTCTGGATCTACCCCAGTTAAACACCTGAAATACAAGTATATTTTCAGCACAGTTTACAGTTTTGTATACATTTTTGGATCAATTTTTTCAAATGAGAACATTCCTTTAGAAAATTGAGTTTCATATAAATTTTGAATATCAAATTCAACACTATTTATCATAAGAAACATGCCCTATCAAAGGTTGGTTGTGATGTACTCGATATAGTACTCCATCATTTTCATTACATATTGTCAAATTTAACCATAATAAAGTGAGAAATGTCTTTTTTTGAGAGATTTAATCTCCAATCTGTGTGTTATGATGTTCAGTACACTTAAGATCCAAGCGTTACTTTTTTGTTGATGATAATATTCGTCCTCGTTATATTTAGAAAGAGTCTTATTATTCCACATATCATAAACAACGAGACTAATTACTGTGTACATGATATTACTCTTGAGACATTCTATTTATCCCTTTATCACAGAGAATCTAAATTCTTCCCTTATCCTAGACAACATGGCAGTCAAATTACTCCCCTTTAATACGACCAGAAGTCCCATTACGATCTGTAGCAGGCCTGTAATCACATGATTAAAACCCTGAACAATCAAAGCACCTATCTGATTATGTCTCCATTTCTGAGTAATTGCCTCCCCTGTCAGTTGGATTTCCTAACCATTCCCTAATTGATGTAATAACTTCCCCTGACCCGTGTAATTACATGGAGGTAAATAGATTTTTACATTCATCCAGTAACTTAGAGTGATGGTGCACACTTGCAGTAAATTGTAGTTGTACATTTATGTACAAACCCAATCATAACTTTTTTGTACTTTTCCTGTATTTGCATTAGGTATTCATTAAAAAGTTGACTGGTGTAAAATTTTACATTTTGTATTAAAAATCAATGAAGTCTATGAATGCATTTGCCAATTTTAATTTTTACAATTCATATATGGTACCGGTTAGTGAATGAAAATGATCATCAAATTAAAACAATTATATCTTTTGAATCAAATAAGTCACTGTGTTTCATGATTGTTATTAGTTGTAATTTTGATAATATTTTACATCCGCATTTACAGCTGTATCTTGCAAGAGTTGAGTTTATCAGGGTTGTTAAGATCCTACTGCCAAGCCTTAGTGATCCAGCCAGCACTGCTTGCAGCCAAAATAGACAAATTATTAACACCTCATGTTGTACTCTAAGACACTGGGTGGCGACAGGTGAGTTGTCTGAAGGAGTGGTGGCAGGAATAACAAGGCTCCAGTACATGTTATTATTTCAAGTGTTTTTATGCTGTCTTTAGTGTGTCATTTATGTACATAATTCACCCTTTTTTCAATTTACTGCAAATATATACACTTGTAGTGTCATTATACATGTTTTCATTAGCTTTTATTTTGTTGTCGATTTTTTACACCTTACATATTATGACACTATATTGAACTCTGTTGTTTTACACTCACTGTTGATGCTTGTAGATGTTGTATGTATCTCTACACTAGGTAATTCTGCAATAAACTGAAATTGTTTTCATTTTTACTGACTTTTTTTTATCAAAGACCAAACTCCCAACATCAAAGATGACTGCCTGGAAGCCATCTTGTTCTTTCAATCAGTCTCAAAAACGAAACCACTTGTTCTTCTGGTCAGTCTCAAAATGAAACGTGAATAACTACAAACCAAGGGAAACCTACATATATAATTTGAGAAAGATTCATCTGGTACTTCTTGAGAAATAGCAATTCAGGATGGACCTCGGGTAAAAGGCAATTTCAACAGCCCACCCTCTAATGATTGATGAACTTAACATCTTGTTCTTCTGGTCAGTCTCAAAATAAAACAGGAATAATTACAAACCAATTGGAACCTACATATGAAATTTTAGATAAAAAATCATCTAATACACATTATATCACATTTTCTTGTTTTATTATCAAATAAATAGTATATGACTGTTGCACAATACATACATAAAAAACAATATATCACATCTTCACATTTGACAAACAATTTCTACGATTTTCCTGTCAAATAGGCTCATACAGACATGATTTTCTGATGTCAAACATGTTCACTCAGAAAATACATGTAATACAGCCAGACAAGAATGGCTGAACATCACATTTACCTTGGAGGACTGTTGGTTGAATCCATCTATTATCTCCCCCACTCAAACATGACAAGCTTTCTTACTGACTCCTATACAAAATCTTTGTAAACATCAACATTACTCTCTCTAATATAGCACTAACAGTTTGTGAAGATTATATCTTTGCTGTATCTTGTGGCATGAAAAACATAACAGGAAAATAAAAACTTTGTACCTCTAATACTGAATCAATTCAGGGAATCAGCTGTAAGTAGTGTCACGCACCAAAAATTTACATCCCACAAATATGTCACAGGAACAAAGCCGTTACGATTAGACCCAGCAAGATTAAAGAGTTATACAGCATATTTTATATCCAGAACTTCTCAACGCATCACAGCACCATCCAAGATAACGTGGGTTACTATTTTGATATTCAGCACTATCTACAATATATCCCCACATTAACAAATTGGAGATACTACCTCTATATTATAAAGGTGATACCTAGTATCCAGATTGTTATACCATTAATAACAAAATCCTTTTCTTAATCGACACATACTGCTGCATCTAGTATTCTATGGTCAGAATAATATTTCGAGTAGATCTGTCAGCCATACTGTGTTAAAAGCTACCAATCCCCACCCAAGGTTATAGCCATTCATTACTAGCCGGTACTATGGCCATTTGTTACTATCTGTACTATGGCCATTTGTTACTAGCTGGTACTATGTCCATTTGTTACTAGCCGATACTATGTCCATTTGTTACTAGCCGGTACTATGACCATTTGTTACTAGCCGCCACTATGACCATTTGTTCCTAGCCGGTACTATGACCATTTGTTACTAGCCGGTACTATGGCCATTTGTTACTAGCCGCCACTATGGCCATTTGTTACTAGCCGGTACTATGGCCATTTGTTACTAGCCGCCACTATGGTCTTTTGTTACTAGCTGTACTATGGCCATTTGTTACTAGCCGGTACTATGACAATTTGTTACTAGTCGTTACTATGGCCATTTGTTACTAGCTTGGTATGTCCATTTGTTACTAGCCGGTACTAAGGCCATTTGTTACTAGCCGGTACGTACTATGACCATTTGTTACTAGCCGATACTATGTCCATTTGTTACTAGCCGGTAATATGGCCTTTTGTTACTATCTGTACTTTGGCCATTTGTTACTAGCAGGCACTATGACCATTTGTTACTAGCCGGTACTATGGCCATTTGTTACTAGTTGTACTATGGCTTTTAGTTACTAGCCGGTACTATGGCCATTTGTTATTAGTTGTACTATGGCCTTTAGTTACTAGCCTGTACTATGACCATTTGTTACTAGCCGGTAATATGACCATTTGTTACTAGCCGGTACTAAGACCATTTGTTACTAGCCGGTACGTACTATGACCATTTGTTACTAGCCGAAACTATGGCCATTTGTTACTAGCCGGTACTATGCCCATTTGTTCCTAGCCGGTACTATGGCCATTTGTTACTAGCAGGTACTATGACCATGTGTTACTAGTCGCCACTATGACCATTTGTTACTAGCCAGTACTATGACCATTTGTTACTAGCCGGTACTCTGGCCATTTGTTACTCGCCGGTACTATGACCATTTGTTACTAGCCGAAACTATGGCCATTTGTTACTAGCCGGTACTATGCCCATTTGTTCCTAGCCGGTACTATGGCCATTTGTTACTAGCCGCCGCTATGACCATTTGTTAGTAGCCGGTACTATGACCATTTGTTACTAGTCGCGACTTTGACCATTTGTTACTAGCCGGTACTATGCCCATTTGTTCCTAGCCGGTACTATGGCCATTTGTTACTAGTTGTACTATGGCTTTTAGTTACTAGCCGGTACTATGACCATTTGTTTCTAGCCGGTACTATGACCATTTGTTACTAGTCGCGACTTTGACCATTTGTTACTAGCCGGTACTATGCCCATTTGTTCCTAGCCGGTACTAAGGCCTTTTGTTACTAGCCGGTACGTACTATGACCATTTGTTACTAGCTGATACTATTTCCATTTGTTACTAGCCGGTAATATGGCCTTTTTTTACTATCTGTACTTTGGCCATTTGTTACTAGCAGGCACTATGCCCATTTGTTACTAGCCGGTACTCTGGCCATTTGTTACTCGCCGGTACTATGACCATTTGTTACTAGTCGCGACTTTGACCATTTGTTACTAGCCGGTACTATGACCCTTTGTTACTAGCCGGTACTATGACCATTTGTACTAGTTTTACTATGGCCTTTAGTTACTAGCCGGTACTAAGGCCATTTGTTACTAGCCGGTACTATGCCCATTTGTTCCTAGCCGGTACTATGGCCATTTGTTACTAGTTGTATTATGGCCTTTAGTTACTAGCCGGTACTATGGCCATTTGTTATTAGTTGTACTATGGCCTTTAGTTACTAGCCGGTACTATGACCATCAACTCCTAGTTGAGGTATTAGCCATCTGTTACAAGATGAGGTTATAACCATTCATTATAAACCGAGGTTATAACCATCCATTATTAGCCAATACAATTGTCATCCGTTCCTTGCCAAGGTTGTAGCCATCCATTACTAAGGTCACAGCCTTCCGTTACAAGCCGAGTTTCTAGCCATCCATTATTAGACAAAGTTACAGCCATCTGCTGCTAACGGAGGTTATAGCCATCCTTTTCTAGCCGATACTATAACACTTGTGACTAGCTAAGGTTATAGCCATCCATTACTAGCCAGGTCCTCTTCCTCCTCCTCGATAAACAGCTTTTCCACAGACCTACACAGGGAAACAAAGGGGAGTAAAAACCACACAATCTATACATTTTTATATATAAATAAAATAAAACGCTGAAGACTAAATTTCGCAATTACTTTTGCCCATCTTGGGGCTCTTCAGGCGATTTTTTTTTTATATATATAAATGTATAAATAGAAGCTTTCTTTCTGAACCATAGAGTTTGGTTGATTTACAGCCTCAAGCTCTACACCCAATGTTGCTTTCCACAAATAATTTGAACTAATGTGTAAATTTAGATTATTGATAACATCAAGGCATTTCACAAAAACGTTTTACTGTACACATTAAGTAATTACATACCTTAACATCCAGTAAGTTGACAGAGTAATGTGAAGACAATACAATCTACATAGTGTCTGTACTCACCTCACCATCAAATCTCCACAGTAGATACACTCAGAGGCCACCAAATCATCCAACGCAGCCTGGCCAAAATAAAAGACATTAGTTATCATCCTCACTTTAAAACCTACCCTAAAAGAAGGTCAGAGTTGGTCAACTATCACCCTAATCTCAATAAGATGATCAATTAACAATCACTCAGAGAGCTAATAATGTTTTGAATTTTTATCTTGAACATGGCTTCTTAGAATGATTTCCATTTCTTTGATAGTATGACCTTGACCTTGGTGACTACATACAGGTATATCATGAAGTTCTATGTCCCTGACCTGATATCCATTATACTGACATTATGACATTGACCTTGGTATCTAGATATGTCATGAAGTTCTATGTCCCTGACCTGATATCCATTATACTGACATTATGACATTGACCTTGGTATCTAGATATGTCATGAAGTTCTATGTCCCTGACCTGATATCCATTATACTGACATTATGACCTTGACCTTGGTATCTAGATATGTCATGAAGTCCTATGTCCCTGACCTGATATCAATTATACTGACATTATGACCTTGACCTTGGTGACTAGATATATCACAAAGTCCCATGTCCCTACCCTGATACCCATTATACTGAGGTTATGATCCTGACCGTGGTGACTAGATATGTCATGAAGTCCTATGCCCCTACCCTGACAGTCATTATACTGACATTATGACCTTGACATTGAATAAGAGACGTATTACTTGGTTGTATTTCCCTTTACCTTGATCTCCATTATTTTTAGGTTGGGACCTTGCCCTTGGCGACTAGACATATTATGTGGTCCTACGTCGTCGTGCTCTGCCAACTTTCTCTGTAAGTCTTCCACATGTGATCGCTTCTTGTTTGATAAATTAGGTACAACCTGACAAACAGACAATACCAATTATTTAATGAGATTAAACACATCAAGTCAACAGAATTCATGTGTCTGATATTTCAAGAATACCTTACAGTGCTCTCATTTTGCAGGACCAAACTCTTATAGCATCAAACTGGAACCAAACTCACTTCCCTTATTAAGCACTCAGATTTACAAAATTGTCTGCATTATTAATTTTTTAGAATTGATGGACTTATTTCTTCGATTGTAAAGACTTACCTCCCCAGATTTACAAAATTGTCTGCATTATTAATTTTTTAGAATTGATGGACTTATTTCTACGATTGTAAAGACTTACCTCCCCTATTAAGCAGTCGGAGTGAAATTTATGTTGACATGGAAACAGGTAAAATCCACGGGTCATCAGAGGGAAACCACAGGCAGCACATTTGTCCACTGACTTCACAAATGCAAACCTGTAAGGTGTTATATTTGGGAAATATGTTGCATTGCCAGATATGACTTTCACATGTACAAAGCTAAAAATGCTGCTACATCATTCTACAGTATATAGATTTGTATATTTGTATCTGGTACTCATCAACAGTTGCTCAATTCTGCTTTCTGTTGGTGTGCTTCTCAGGCTATGTGTTAATCTGTCTAAAATGTATTGATGTTACTTTTTGTTGGATATCTATGTAAAAACATAGATAAAAAGAACATGTAATTAAAATATAAAATACGTTCTTACTTGTTGCGAAAGCCCTGAATTTCCTTCCTGATCTCCTCTGCACTACCTGTCGCCTCGTCCATCTCCTCCTTGAGAGCTTCTATATGTTGGTTATACTCCTTCAGTGAGGTGATGATGGCATCCTGTCAAATCAATACCATTATTTAGTGCCCTCGATATTTCCTCATCACTAATTTCTCTCTGAGCTACACAAGTGTAAGCCTGGTCATACTGTAAACTGTAGACGAAAGCTACTCTTGGTTATATACCACCATGTTTTTCTAATGTAGATACTCACTTGCATCTTAAACAGAAATCCAAATAGTTTTACAACTGGCTTTGACTGAGATTGGTTATGGTAGCCAACTTGTTACAAGGTTGGTCAAAGTAGCCTATTTGCTGAAGGATTGGTTACAATAGCCTACTAGTTACTGGATTGGTCATGATAGCATACTAGTTACAAGCCTAGGATAGTATGATGGTCTGCTTCCTACTAGAAAGGAAGTGGTAGCCAACTTGTTAAATGGTAGTGTTAGATACTACCATAGGTTGTTTCCACCTTACTTTAATGTTTGTAAGAATTGCTCCACTGTTTAGAAATGAATTAAAGCTACACTGTGAAACGAGAGATCTTATAGCCTGCATACCTTGAAGTGGTCAATGGTGACAAAGTCAGGAAAAAATGGCAGGATGTCTTCTATTTTGAGGAGGTCACAATCATGGAGGAACTCCATTGCTCTCTTGACATCTTTCTCCTCCTCCACCACATGTCGGGCTATAAATAGACCAGGTTCAGACCATTCATGTTAATAGCTAGTGGGAACATGTCTGGCTATAAATAGACCAGGATCAGACAATTCATGTTAAGAGCTGGTGGGAACATGTCGGGCTATAAATAAACCAGGATCAGACAATTCATGTTAAGAGTTGGTGGGAACATGGGCTATAAATAGACCAGGATCAGACAATTCATATTAATAGCTAGGGGGAACATGTTGGGCTATAAATAGACCAGGATCAGATAATTCATGTTAAGAGTTGGTGGGAACATGGGCTATAAATAGACCAGGATCAGACAATTCATATTAATAGCTAGGGGGAACATGTCAGGCTATAAATAGACCATGATCAGAAAATTCATGTTAATAGCTAGGGGGAACATGTTGGGCTACAAATAGACCATAATCAGACAATCCATGTTAAGAGTTTGTGGGAACATGTTGGGCTATATAGACCACGATCAGACAATTCATGTTAAGAGTTGGTGGGAACATGTCGGGCTATAAATAGACCATGATCAGACAATTCATATTAAGAGTTAGTGCAAGTTGGGCTATAAATAGACCATAACCAGACAATTCATGTTAATAGCTGATGAGAACATGTCATGCAATAAATAAACCACGATCAGACAATTCATGTTAAGAGCTGGTGGGAACATGTCGGGCTATAAATAGACCAGGATCAGACCATTCATGTTAATGGCTAGGGGGAACATGTCGGGCTATAAATAGACCAGGATCAGACAATTCATGTTAATAGCTGGTGGGAACATGTCGGGCTATAAATAGACCAGAATCAATTCATGTTAATAGCTAGGGGGAACATGTCGGGCTATAAATAGACCAGGATCAGACAATTCATGTTAATAGCTGGTGGGAACATGTCGGGCTATAAATAGACCAGGATCAGACAATTCATGTTAAGAGTTGGTGGGAACATGGGCTATAAATAGACCAGGATCAGACAATTCATATTAATAGCTAGGGGGAACATGTCAGGCTATAAATAGACCATGATCAGAAAATTCATGTTAATAGCTAGGGGGAACATGTTGGGCTACAAATAGACCATAATCAGACAATCCATGTTAAGAGTTTGTGGGAACATGTTGGGCTATATAGACCACGATCAGACAATTCATGTTAAGAGTTGGTGGGAACATGTCGGGCTATAAATAGACCATGATCAGACAATTCATATTAAGAGTTAGTGCAAGTTGGGCTATAAATAGACCATAACCAGACAATTCATGTTAATAGCTGATGAGAACATGTCATGCAATAAATAAACCACGATCAGACAATTCATGTTAAGAGCTGGTGGGAACATGTCGGGCTATAAATAGACCAGGATCAGACCATTCATGTTAATGGCTAGGGGGAACATGTCGGGCTATAAATAGACCAGGATCAGACAATTCATGTTAATAGCTGGTGGGAACATGTCGGGCTATAAATAGACCAGAATCAATTCATGTTAATAGCTAGGGGGAACATGTCGGGCTATAAATAGACCAGGATCAGACAATTCATGTTAATAGCTGGTGGGAACATGTCGGGCTATAAATAGACCAGGATCAGACAATTCATGTTAAGAGTTGGTGGGAACATGGGCTATAAATAGACCAGGATCAGACAATTCATATTAATAGCTAGGGGGAACATGTCAGGCTATAAATAGACCATGATCAGAAAATTCATGTTAATAGCTAGGGGGAACATGTTGGGCTACAAATAGACCATAATCAGACAATCCATGTTAAGAGTTTGTGGGAACATGTTGGGCTATATAGACCACGATCAGACAATTCATGTTAAGAGTTGGTGGGAACATGTCGGGCTATAAATAGACCATGATCAGACAATTCATATTAAGAGTTAGTGCAAGTTGGGCTATAAATAGACCATAACCAGACAATTCATGTTAATAGCTGATGAGAACATGTCATGCAATAAATAAACCACGATCAGACAATTCATGTTAAGAGCTGGTGGGAACATGTCGGGCTATAAATAGACCAGGATCAGACCATTCATGTTAATGGCTAGGGGGAACATGTCGGGCTATAAATAGACCAGGATCAGACAATTCATGTTAATAGCTGGTGGGAACATGTCGGGCTATAAATAGACCAGAATCAATTCATGTTAATAGCTAGGGGGAACATGTCGGGCTATAAATAGACCAGGATCAGACAATTCATGTTAATAGCTGGTGGGAACATGTCGGGCTATAAATAAACCAGGATCAGACAATTCATGTTAAGAGTTGGTGGGAACATGGGCTATAAATAGACCAGGATCAGACAATTCATATTAATAGCTAGGGGGAACATGTCAGGCTATAAATAGACCATGATCAGAAAATTCATGTTAATAGCTAGGGGGAACATGTTGGGCTACAAATAGACCATAATCAGGCAATCCATGTTAAGAGTTTGTGGGAACATGTTGGGCTATATAGACCACGATCAGACAATTCATGTTAAGAGTTGGTGGGAACATGTCGGGCTATAAATAGACCATGATCAGACAATTCATATTAAGAGTTAGTGCAAGTTGGGCTATAAATAGACCATAACCAGACAATTCATGTTAATAGCTGATGAGAACATGTCGTGCAATAAATAAACCATGATCAGACAATTCATGTTAATAGCTGATGAGAACATGTCGTGCAATAAATAAACCATGATCAGACCATTCATGTTAAGAGTTGGTGCAAGTTGGGCTATAAATAGACCATAATCGGTCAATTTATGTTAATAGCTGGTGGGAACATGTAGGGCTATAAATAAATCATGATCACACAATTCTTGTTGCTTATGGAAATTTGTATATTGATATATTAATATATTGAACAATTAATTAGAGGTTGCAAAATGTCGTTAAACAATGATCAAGCTAATCACCTTCTGAACAACTGGGCCCAGATCTCTTATGCTACACTTTAAACATTACAATCAATGAAAGCCAAATTCCATCGCATTATAAAAAGTTTTATGCTTCATAAACAAGTGAAACCTAGATCAACTGACCTATCCTGAGCCAGAGTTTCTTTCGGAGGTCTAAATCATCCTCATCTGGTTTGTCTGCCTGACTTTTGGCCAATTCAACATCCACCTGTAATCAAAACAAAAACAATTTTCATGCAATTGATATTTTATGCACTTGACCATGCCAATCAGCATGTAAATTAAACAAAAATAGAAAACAATAAAGGAAGCTCCAAATTCAATGTCATTTGACAGATGTGCAAGGACTACTCATATAAAATGAAAGTCATGACATTAGGAAATGATGACCCTCAGAAGTAGAGTGGCCTTTGGTGCGACTTACAGCCAGGGCGAGGTCAACAGCCTCCTCATACAGTCCCATCAGGGAGTAGATGTGGACACAGGCCTTCTTATGATCATGTTCTGCACACAAGCGCAGGGCATACTTCAGGTCATAACAGATACTCTCCGGGTCCTGTCAACACAAACATGTTAATTTATGCCTTAGTCCATATATAAACATGGATCAAGTATATGCTTTCCGAAGTTAAAGAGTAGAGAAAATAGGGAATTAGCAATATAAGCTTCTGATTAAGTAATACCTGGCACTCCACTTTATCATGCAGGTGAATATGGCAAATAAGATAAAATTGTTTCCACTGGAAAAGAAGTATTTTATACCTAGCAAAATGATGTTATTTGACTTTGACCTCTGACTTTCCAACTCAAAAACCCTGCATCTGTAGGTAGGCCATCAGTTTGTCAGGTTGTAGTAACACTTTACTTCTCATGAAATACTTACTGTACCCTGCATCTGCAGGTAAGTCATCAGTTTGTCTGATTGTAGCTTGGCATATAGAGACAGGAGGTAGTTGTGGATAGCTTGCTCCTTGTTCTGCATTTCCTGAATACAGAACTCAAGGTAGCGTATTGCCTCGTTACCCTGAAGGTATAAAAGGTATAAAAACAACATTATAAACATCTTACATCGTCTAACACTTCCCGAAGATCAAACCAAGATGCCTAAGTGGCCTGTATCCCATGTTATTTAGTGTTTTGTCAGGGTCATGAGAGACAAATTTGTTTTGAATTCTGCTACATAAAGATTGACAAACATTTGTATTAACTGAAATCAAAATTGGCTTGGCGGAATTTGTTGAAGAACCAATTAGTAGTGGGGTTTTTCAAAGAAACTTGATGTTAAAATATTGATAGTTTATAACAAATTTAGTGTGAAGTGTTTGGATGTCAAATAAAATATAGACCAGTTGGAAAGATACCCTAAGGAAGCTGCCACTTTTCTTTACAAACAAAAATAAAGATAAACCAGAAAACTTCACGAGGTCAAGAATGCCCCCTCTCCCTGGCAAAGTTGTGTCATTGGTTGACAGATTTTGTGACCTTGGCCTTGACCCTAATCCCTGAAATAGGACCTTGGTTTTATAGTATTTTGTTTAACATCCTTTTTAACAGCTATGGTCATTTAAGGACATAAAAATAGGACCCCGTTTTAGTTATTCTCAGACTTGACCTTTATATAAAGTTTGATCAAAATCTGCTAGGAAAAATGCCACTAGAGTGATGTTCCTGAAAAATTTCTATAAATAGTAACAGTGACCTTGGTCTTGAACTTGAAGCCCTAAAATACAAACTAAATTGAGGTATTCATGTACTTGACTTATGTAAATAGTTGGATCGAAATTAGCTAAAAATGAAGTTACTAGAGGGATGAGAATGAATTGAAATCGGTTGGACATTGGTAGCACTATATGCTGACCTGCTGTCTGTATCTGTTATGGTCGTACTGTACGAGAGCCGGGATGAGACGGAGGGGTTCCAGGTTTCCCTTCTGTTTGATCCAATCCGTGACCGTCTCCTGTGGGATGTTCTGCATCAACAGGGGAGAGAACTTGTAGAATAGGTCCACATCTCCCGAACACTGCAAATAATGGCAGACAAATCAGTGAGGCTATTAAACACTTCAAGTAAATGATTTGGTGAGAACTTCAAAGGCTGATGAGACATGATTTGTGAGTTCTTCAAAGGCTGATGAGACATGATTTGTGAGAACATTGAAGGCTGATGAGACAATTTTTGTGAGAACTTTTAAGGCTAAGGAGACATGACTTGTGAGAACTTCAAAGGCTGATGATACATGATTTGCGAGAACACTGAAGGCTTATGAGACAATTTTTGTAAGATCTTTGAGTGCTGATGAGACATGATTTGTGAGAACATTGAAGGCTGATGAGACATGATTTATGAGAACTTTGAAAGCTGATGCGACATGTTTTATGAGATCTTTCAAGCAGATAAGAGTTACATGTTTTGTGAGAATTGTAAAGGCTTATTAGACTTAAATCTTCTGTGAGAATTTTGAAGGTTGATGATACTTACATGTTTTGTGAGAACTTTGAGGGCATTCTTGTATTCATCATGTTGCAAATAGTGTGTAATCACCTTCTCAAAGTCTGAAATGTATGATGAACAAAGCCATTATAGATACGTTGATGTACCTGAAATTTGAAATGACAGCACAGCTGTAGGTACAAAGTTTGTTTCTACAAATCAAGTTACAAAGCAGTAATAATTCCCTAGTTCGAAAAATCAATAGTCTTGAAAAATGAAACACCAATTACAATGCTTACCTTGCATTAGGAAGGCGAAGAAGACCATATCCTCCACATCTCCGTGACTGGCAATGAGGTCGTACACCACACCACGATTATTACTCACACACTCCTACAGTATAAAGACCAGGGTTATCTCCCATTAACACTGCAACATACACTGTAATATACATTATGCCAGGTGCCACAATTAATATTTTAAAACTTCCTGATCCTGAACCTGTGGCTTGGTAGATGAACTTAACTTGACCTAGAAATACACCCAGATATACACAATTAAGTACTGACCTTTACTCTGCCTTGGTTAAGGAACATTCGGAACTGGTCTTGTAGGTCCTCATATTCCTTTGTTTGGTCGCGGCCAGCCTCCTTCAGCTCGCCAAGCTGGTTCAGATAAATCTCTACCAGCCAGGTCACCAACATGGTCAGCTGAGTCTTGTCCTGTATATACAATTTACACAGAAAAATCATGAGTTCAACTTGATGTGTAAAATATTCTTCCCAAGTCACCTCATATGCATGACAAACCTCTCCTTTGTCACCTCAGATATGCTGGAAACCTTTCCAGGTCAAATCTCATGTCCATATATCTACCTAAGCATGGTTAAGTTATTGCAATGTAAGGTTTAAGATAGTATTGGTGTCACAGCTTTATTTAAGAAATGAAGTTAAAATATAACCAGGCTAAGTTCATGATCCTAGTGACTTAGAGACTTGTTCAGCTTCCTAGATTTACCTGTGGTTTTAGGGACTCGAGCTTCTTAAGGATGAATGACTTGAGGGCATCTTTCTTGTCGAGTTTGATGAACCGGAGGGCTATTTCCTCAAAGGAGTTCTGTGTCTGAGCATACATCATGGCACTTTCCTCGTACCTAGAAATCAGGAATGACTGTAACTAGGTGCATGTACAATACAACTTCAACAAGTTCCTTCACATAAAATTTGTATATGTATGTACTAGCATCAGACTTTGACAACAAATTACAAAAACAAATCAGAACTGTAAGTTTTTCATTGTAATATGCTTCCAACTATAACATTCACAATGAAAATAGATTACAGAGTTAATTTAACAACTGTACACCGGGAAACTTTCGCACAGTCAAATATTCGCCCTTTGCCAATAAAATCTCAGTTTGGTCAGTGTTAATTTGGCCCTTCACAGGTCATTACTGCCCTTCACATGTCATTACTGCCCTACTGCCCTTCACCTGTCATTACTGCCCTTCACATGTCATTACTATTTATTGTATTTTGTGTACTAATATTTGCTGTCATGATAAAGTCACCCTAATTGGGGAGGGCAAAAGAGACGAAAGTTAACTGCAACGGAAAATTTCCGGTATACAGTACCTTGTATACTGATTAAATGTAAAATGTTTTAATGAAATCTAAGGAGTGCTTGAGAAGAAGTAATCTGTATATACAACATATGCTCCAATCTACAGACAGATAAATGGACAGACACCCTGATTCTGGGATATGATTTTATGTGAAGCGTATGAAATAAAATTCAAAGAGTTGTGTCATATAACATACCTACTCTGCCTGTACCTACCTATCATTGGTAAATAAATACTCGGCCTGTTTGGTCAGTACACGGTCCATCTGGGCCATGTTGTCCTGCAAGTAAATCCAAAGTGACACAATGATGAATCAACTTGCTTGACATCTTAGAAATATAAAGACATGACGGAAACACTGGTATCAAATTTAAATGTGCACCATCATGATAAAGTTAAATGACTCAAAGTTTCCTATCTACAGAAACATGTAACACATTACTCATGTCTAGACCTTAATAATGTACAGCAATGATAACGGTTTACAATGATAATATATATAATGAACTTTACAGAATGTACAAACTCATTTGCACTTCTCTGAGCAATTTTAGACTATAAATTAAAGACAATATTTATAGAAACATATCTTATAATGCGTCATCTGCAATCTACTGAGTTATTGATAACCAACAAAATTAAGTTTCATTTTCATATGTGCAAATCATTGATGCTAATGAGGTGAAAAAATACACACCCGACAATATTCTTTGGCGAGGTCAAACTGGCCCATGTCAAGGTACATCTGCCAGACATCCCTATGGAGAAACATATCATCATGTTCAGGTCATCAGAACATCCACCCGTACAAAATTAACATAACACAAATACACAAGGAGAAATACATTATCGTATGTTAATATCATCAGAAAACTCACAGGTGCAACAGTCAATTAACCAGAATTATAGATCGAGGATATTAACAAGAGGCCCATGGGCCTTAACGGTCACCTGATATATTTATACAGAGAGTTGATTTTGTTTTTAACATGAAGAGAAATGTTATTCAAAGTGACAAAAAACAATAAAACCACCTTACTCAATATCTAGCATACAGATTTCAGACTAAAAAGGATTTGAAACTAGCACCTACAGCCCTTGGGGGTAGGGCTGGCTCAAAATTTTCAAAGTATCAAACTGTCAATTCAAGGTTATAATTCCAATCAAGTTATTAACATGTAATATTCAAAGTATCATTTGTCATTATAAACCATAATAAATTTTGCCCCCCCCCCCTCCTTCCCCAGGGGGTAAACGTGAGACCCTAGGGTCATAAACCTTAAGACCCTTCCATCTATGAA